CTGCCGGTACCGGTGCCGGTGCCCGCCGGGGCAGCCCTCCCCGCCGCCCCGCGGGTCCCCGCGCCCGCTGGCCTCGGCCGTTCCCCGCGGAAAGCCCGACGTTTCGGGGAGGGAGTTTCTTTGGATTTTTTTATTTCCCGGTCGCTCTCGGGAGCCGTGAGGATGAAGCACAAGGGGCTGTTTCCTCCGCGTGTGCCTGTCGCTGCCGGTGGCTTGCTTTCCTTCTTGCTTTCCTCTTTTTTTTTTTTTCTTTCCTTTTTTTTTTTTTTTTTTTTTTTTTTTTTTTTTTTATAGGCGTATGTTCCCTTTCCTAAGTTTTAATATTTCTGGTCTCGACCCCACGGCTCACTACAATATTTTTGTGGATGTAATTTTGGCGGATCCCAACCACTGGAGATTTCAGGGAGGCAAATGGGTTCCTTGCGGCAAGGCGGACACCAATGTACAAGGCAAGTTCCTCCAATTAACACTTTTCCCGACACATATGTAGGTGAGAATGATTAATTAAAGCCTTTGTGGACTGGCTCTGGCGAATTCTGAAACGAGAAAGGGCCAATGATGGGGGCTTTTTTTATATATATAAAAAGAGAAAAAGAAGGGTGAAGGAGAAAGTAAAAGGTGTTCGGAAAACGCTGGTTTAATCATTTTCGGTTAAAATAGAGGGAATTTCGGCACTAAATACTGCTAACTTTAACGGTGTTCTTCGACCTCGTGTGCTGTTGCAGTGGCAGAACCGGGTTATACGGGAAAATTGTGATGTGTTTGTGTTTTTTGTTGTTTTGCTTAGGAAACCGGGTGTACATGCACCCCGACTCCCCCAACACGGGAGCCCACTGGATGCGCCAGGAAATCTCCTTTGGGAAACTAAAACTCACAAACAATAAAGGAGCATCAAACAACAACGGGCAGGTCAGTGGGGGAAACGCAGACGCTCTGCCAGACTTATTTTTATTGCTTCAGACAAAATCCTGCCGTTTCCGAAAGGACGTATATTTTTTTTTTAGAAGCAGTCGTTAGATGAAAATAAAAGGGTGGGGTGGGGGGTGGGGGGGGAAAGCCCCGCCGTTTATTTTGCCACGGGCCTCGTCCATCCCGACCGCTGCCCGGTGTGGCCGGGAGACCCCCGCAGCCGTCCCGGGGAGGCGGTGGAAGGGTCCCGGGGAGGCGCACGGCTCCCCGCCGCCCGTGGGCATCGCTCTCTCCGTTCTTCTCGCTCTAATGCCCTCTTCTTCCCGCCGCCCCCCTCCCTCCTTTTCCTCTGCCCGACAGATGGTGGTTCTGCAGTCCCTCCACAAGTACCAGCCCCGGTTGCATGTGGTAGAGGTGAACGAAGACGGGACGGAGGACACCAACCAGCCGGGCAGAGTGCAGACCTTCACCTTCCCCGAGACCCAGTTCATCGCAGTCACCGCCTACCAGAACACCGATGTAAAGACCTCCCCGCTTTATCCCTCTCCCGGTCTCCCGCGCTCCCCCCAGGACCCCCCCGCCGAGGCCGGCCCGGCCCGGCCGCTCCCCTCCCTCCCTGCCCCAGGACGGGGGTCCCTATCTCCCCCTCGGTGCCGTCCTGCCCCGGCCGAGGCTGGCGACCCCCAAGCCGCTCCGCGTTTGCCCCGGGAGCCCGGCGCCGGCCGTCCGCAGCCGCGCTGCCCTCCGCGCCCGGCCGGGCAGGAATCCTGCCGCTACGCCTGAAGCTGGGCGTTAATCCGCGGCGTTCGCCTTCCAGTCGGAAACGGCTCAGTTAGCTGTTAAGCTGTTAGCTTAAGCTTTAAGTCTGCAAAGATCAATTAACAACCTCATTGATTGCGCCGGGGGTGACGGAGCAACTTCCTCAAATTAAAAGCTCGTTAATGCTTGGCGGCGTTTCGCAGTGGTCTGGCTTTGCTACAGGCTGGTGTCCCCTTTTTCAAATGACATATGTTCAGTCCGCATTCTTGCTTTAATTATTTTGCTCGATGCAAATGTAAACTCTTAGCTGCGGTACGCTTTGCCTAATTTCTGGATTTAAATATATTCAAAAGAAGTAAGAATACTGACACGTCTCAGAACGTGGGGTGAAATATTAAATTTTATCGTACTTTTTACAATAAAGCAAATCTTAATATTAGAGTATGATATCTCCAAGCATGCCAAAGCTTTATTTTTTCACGGTTTAAAGGCATTTTGATCCACTAGAGTAAAGCTTGATCCTTTTAAAAATGTATTGGCTGCAGCAGGGCTACATTTTTCAGGCTTTCACAACGTGCGCTCTGATCCTCTCTTTCCCTAGATCACACAGCTGAAAATAGACCACAACCCTTTCGCAAAAGGCTTCCGAGACAATTATGACACGTAAGTAATCTGGATTTTTATTACCCTTCTGCCGGCTCCGCACACATGTCGGAGGGGGGAAGCGTTAGGACGCGGGCTGGCTTCATTTCACACCGAAATGTGTAATGTCAGGCTTTTCCTGAGCCCCCCGGGGGGGTGGCACCCACAAGGTCCCCTGGCGGGGCCGCGGGCGCGGAGGGACTGTCCCTGCGGCCGGCCTCCGCGCAGCCTGCGCCCACCTCCGCGCCCGGGGGCCGCGCTGCCCGCACCTGAGCCCTCGTCTCGCTTTGGCACTCGCGGCGGTTTTGTTGTTGGTTTTTCCTGGCACGTATCTTTGCGCCCCTTTCCAAGTTGCCGTTTCTCTTGCGGGAAGCAGCACCCGAGCCTCCCGGGCCGAGTCCCCGGGCACCCCGCCGGGCGGGCGCAACCCCGGGCTCCGCAGAGCCGCTGTCCGGAGGAAAATTTCTACGTCTCGTTTTGTTCTTCTCTAGGGTTGGATTTGATTATTTATTTTTTTTTTCCCCCACTCTTCTTTCTGGGTGGAGCTAAAGCCTCCCAAGTTTTAACCGCGGTCTGGCCCCGCGCTGCCTCTGCCCGTCCGCCCCGGGTCCGCCCGTTCCCAGGCTCACCCGTGTCACCCACCCGCCCGTGGCCCCCCCCACGGGACCTGCGGCTGGAGCCGCCCCGAGTGTGGCTCCGTGGGCGCATCAGCCCCCGACCCCTCCCCGCCGCCTTTCCCGGTCCTCGGGAGCGGAATGGGGGGGACATCCCGGCCCGGGAGGCGCTGACGGCCGCGGCTTCCCCCGGCCCGGGGCATCCCTCCGCCCGGACCCCGGGGTACGGCCCGCCCGGTGTCTCCCCTGTCGGGGCCGGGCCGGCGGGAGGTGGCGGGCACGAGGCGGCGCCGGGGGAGCGGGTGGCCTCGGAGCTCACCGGCCCCGCTGCCAGCTCCGGGTCTGCGGGACGGGTTCCAGCTCTGAGAGGGGAAACCTCATTTTTCCTCTCTGACCTGCGGCAGGGAGCGGCCTCCCTTGGAGCTCCTGAACCTGCGCGCATCTTCAGCGCCTGCTTAAGCCTCCCTCAGCTCTGACAGCGGTTCAGCAGCCCCCAGCACAGCGGGATTTCGGTTCAAGGGCGCCGAGGCCTGAACCTAGTGCGAGAGGTGCCCGGGGCCGAGTACCGGCTCTCCCCCACGGGCGGGAGTCGCGGAAGGGGAGCCGGGCCCTGCCGGGAGGGGAACGGCGGCCCTGGTGCCACGGAGGGCGGCATCCGCGCCTGCCCGCTCCTCTCGGGGCTCCGCGCGGAAGATGCGCGGCCTTTAGACAGGCTGCGTGGCCTTCGCCCCCAGCCACAAGTGCTTTTCTCTTTTTAATAAGAAAAAAAAACTTTATAGGGCGTCACTTAAAAGGAGACGGGGGGAGGGGGAAGCTTCAATGTTGTCTAGCACGTTGGATTTGTTTAAGGGCCAAGTTTATTTTGGATAAGAAATTCCAGGAGGCGTGGAGGGTTAATTAAAGCACAGTTTTAGCCTGAATTAAATACAGATAGTAGTTATTCATCCATTAAAGTTTTTATAATCGCAAATTGCAGCCCAGCATGGGAGAATTATATATAGGCCACGCAGGGAACACTGGATGCGTCTGGCTTTACATTTTCCTACAGTAGGTGTTTAAAGATTAGCTTAATTTAAACTCAGTAAAATGTTGATGGTTCGTCTGTGACTCCCAATAATAAGTGTTAAGCAGCCGATATAATTCCGTAGTCTGCCAGTCACGCTGTTGGCGGCAAATGACCGGGCTGCCTGTTGCGCATATAGCGGGACCGGTCAATGTGTCACCGCGCGGGATTTCACGCCGCCGGGATGCCGGGCTCGGACCGGAGCAAGGGCTCTCGGCCCTGCTAACGTACGGTCAGCCTGTTCCGAAAGGTGTGCTCTCCCTGCCTCCCCCCTCATCCTCCCCCTCCCCCGTTAAGGCCCTGGGCGCTGCTGGCGCCGGAGGCCGAGCCCGGAGAGGAGCGCAGGGCCCCGGGCAGGGCAAGGAGGGCGCTGGGGCAGCCGCCAGCCCGTCCCGTCCCCTCCCCTCCCGTCGGCGCCCCGAGGGCTGCGGCCGGCCGGACGCGGGGCCGAGGAGGGCGGCGGCGAACACCCACCTCTCTCCCCTTCTCTTGGGCAGGATCTACACGGGCTGCGATATGGACCGGCTGACGCCTTCCCCCAACGACTCGCCCCGCTCGCAGATCGTGCCCGGGGCCCGCTACGCCATGGCCGGCTCCTTCCTCCAGGACCAGTTCGTGAGTAACTACGCCAAGTCCCGCTTCCACCCCGGGGCAGGAGCCGGCCCGGGGCCCGGCGCCGACCGCAGCGTGCCCCACACCAACGGGCTGCTCTCCCCACAGCAAGCCGAGGACCCGGGGGCCCCCTCGCCGCAGCGCTGGTTCGTCGCCCCCGCCAACAACCGCCTCGACTTCGCCGCCTCCGCCTACGACACGGCCACCGACTTCGCCGGCAACGCGGCCACCCTGCTTTCCTACGCGGCCGCCGGCGTCAAGGCGCTACCGCTGCAGGCGGCCGGCTGCGCCGGGCGGCCGCTGGGCTACTACGCCGACCCCTCGGGCTGGGGGGCCCGCAGCCCCCCGCAGTACTGCAGCAAGTCGGGCTCCGTCCTCTCCTGCTGGCCCAACAGCGCGGCGGCGGCCCGCATGGCGGCCGGCAACCCCTACCTGGGGGAGGAGGCGGAGAGCCTGGCCCCCGAGCGGTCCCCCTTGCCGGGCGCCGAGGACTCCAAGCCCAAAGATTTGTCCGACTCCAGCTGGATCGAGACCCCCTCGTCCATTAAGTCCATCGACTCCACCGATTCTGGGATTTACGAGCAGGCCAAAAGGAGGCGGATCTCCCCCTCGGACACCCCGGTGTCCGAGAGCTCCTCGCCGCTCAAGAGCGAGGTGCTCACCCAGCGGGACTGCGAAAAGACCTGCGCCAAGGACATCGGCTACTACGGCTTCTACTCGCACAGCTAAGGCGCGGCCAGCCCGGCCCCGCCGTCCTTTTGCACAATAACTCCTCCGCGTTAGCGCACTGACCCCCCGCCCCTAGCGCCCCATCCGCACCCCCGGCCCGGCAGGCAGAGCCGCGGCTGCCGCCGCCCCCCCCGGCTCCGCTCCGCTCCCCGCCAGGCCCGGCCCGGGGGCGCGGGGGGCACTGCCGCTCCGAGACCCACTGATAAGTAGGATGCTTAGACTCTCAGAACCGTACAGCGCTTCCTTCCTTTCACCACGGATGGATTCTAGGGGATAACAGTAATAGTGGGGGAAAAGAGCCTGTGAAATGCCTGTACATAATATTTAATTTATTGTAACCGACTACTTTTCTTTAGTTCTGTTTCCTCCTTATTTGTTCGGATTTTTCCTTTTTTTTTTTTTTTTTTCCTTTTTTTTTTTTGTTTTTTCTTTTTTTTTTTTTTCTTTCCTTTTTTTTTTTCCCTTTTTGTTTTCATTGTTAAGTCACAAAACTTAGATCCTGTTTAAATTTCCTTTTAAAATCCCCCTCCCCCCCGCCGCCCTTTGCTCCCTCTTCCCCCTGGTCCTCCCCAGGTAAACACCCTTTCTAAATGCCTCTGGAAATGTAGGGTGGTCCAATAGCTGTAGCAGCGAGTAATGGGTTTCTCACTTTCTCTGCAATTCCTCGCATGACATAATTACGCCGTGCCCTGGGCTAACACAGCTAAGGAATAGCTCAGCTTTCCCTTCAAAAGAACAGAAATAAGTCTCGTAGGAAAGTCGATTAAAGTAGCATGACGCCTTCCAAAAACAAAATTAACTGCCTCTGTATTTTTCTTTAAAAGGAGTAGCTCGACATCAGCAATATTATTATTTTTGTGGTATTCCTTGCCCCCCCCCCGCCCCCAAGTGCCAAATCCATTACTGGTCCCTGCAGGTGCCAAATATGCTGACAAACTCTTTTCAAATTTCTTTGCAGTTTTCCCCTCTTTCTTTATATTGCTGTAAATCTTTGTAATGAATAATCTAAAAAAAAAAAAAAAAAAAGAAAAAAAAAGATATAGACGACTGAATTGTTGGTAACCATAGTGTAGTCCAGTGAAGATGAATCGTGAGTTGTATATTTTACTGCATTTAGTTTTGGAATTGACTTTTTCATAAAGTAGCTAACCGAGATCTGACTTCCTGGGGAATCAAATGCACATCGAAAGTAAGAGCGATCTTTCCTTGTAAACCTCTTATTATATTAATGAAGGACAACTAATGTCCCTCCAGGTGTCCCCCCCGGCGAAGCAGAATAGTAAGTCTTCGAATTTTGAGTAGCAAATCTATACAATTAACGCATTTTTATATTGAAAAAAATACCACAATTACAAACTGAAATATGCATCAGGCTAAATATTCAGTCTAGATTACACTCGAGGAAATTTCCTAATAGAAATTCAGGGTCATAAACGTGTGTATATTTTTGACTCTTCTGTAAATCGAATGTTGTGATTTTTATATTTGTTCTGTTACGTCTGTGGAACTGAATAATTTATACCAGTACATGCTCCATTGAGAAATGTTTCGGTTTTTGCCCGTTTGTATCGTCTGTGTATAACAAGTAAAATAAACCTGGCAAAACGTTAACGCCGTGTTGGGAAAGCACTTCTCCGTTTTGCAAGTACGAATCCCGGTGAGGCGACGGGGCAGAGGCTGGCGGGAGCTCGTCCCTCGCCCGGGAGAGGCTGCCGGGGGGAATCCCGCCGGTTCCCCTCCCCGCCGGGGCTGACCCTCTCGCCCAGACCTTCCTCTTTTTTTTGGGGGGGGGTGGGTGAGGGGGGCGTAGGGGAGAGCGCCTTCCCGGCGCGGCCAAGCGCGGAGGTTCGCAGCAGCCGGAGGAAGAGGGAGATGAAAGCCCGTCGGGTTGGAGAGGTTTATCATTATCCCTGGTTTTGACGCTTAAAAAAAAAACTAACCCCTGAGAGCACTGTGCGGGCGGGGGCCGTGCCCGGGGGTGGTGGTGGGGCCGCAGAGACCCCGGGACGGGGGCTGCGCTGGCCGAGCCCCCGGGGTGCTCCCCGCCGTGTTCCCCGGGGTGTCCAGCCCCCGCTGCCTCTGCAGCCCCCTCCCTCTGCCGACCTGCCAGGGATGCTCCCCCTCCACTTTAAAAAATACCTACTTTTAGGGAAGGCGCCGTCCCCCGGCATTCGCGTGGGTCGGGGTGCGCGGGGCCTTGGGGTAAAAGGACAGTTTTATTCTTGGTACCTCAGCGGGGGAAGCGCGGGCGCGGAGCTGCCGCGGGGATTTTGGCCTGTCGCAGGATGGGGGGGTGGACCTGAGCAGCCCGACTGCAATCCCCCTCACGATTCCTTCCCCCCCTCAGGGTGCGGGGCTCTACCTGAGCAGGGTCTCTGCACCCCAAACCCTTCCGCCGGCTGCAGGGGAGCGCGGAGGGGAGCGTGGGCCCGCGCCCCGTTGCTGCCGTCGGGCTCACGGTGCTGCCCCCTGGGCGGTGGTGGGGGCTGCGCGGCCGCGGGCCCCCCGCCGGGAGCGGTGGGGGCAGAGGGGCGGGCGGCCCTGGCCGTCGGGCGGGAGAGGACCCCGGGGGGAAGCGGGGGCGGCGGGGGGTGCGCGCCCTCCCCGGCCGCCTCGCACCGAGCGGCGGAGGCCGCGGAGCCGCCCGCGCTTCTCCGCCTCCCAGGGGCTTCGGGCTGCCCCCTCAGCGGCGCGGAGCAGGGGCCGCCCCGGCGCCCTCCCCGCGGGAGCAAAGCTCTGCCAAATTCCATGTTTTCTGCCCTCCTTCCCCCGCTCTCGGGCGGCAAAACCGCCCCTCCTGCCCCGCTGCGTTCCCCCCCCTCCGCCCCGAGAGGGCAAAGGGACCGGACCGGGGCTCAGCGGCGTTTTCGGGCGGGAGCCCAGGGGGACCCCGCCGCTGCCGGGGGGCTCCTGGCCCGGGGGAGCGGGAGGCGCGGCGGGCAGAGCGCCGGTCAGAGCCCAACTCGCCGGGTTGTGCGTGGCGGGGGTTACCCGGTGGGTCTGGAATCGATACGTAACGTGTGACAGGTCTGAACAAAATCCTCTCCCAGGCGTGAGTGGTTAATGTTATCCCGTAACTATTTCGACAGGAGAATTCCATACCAATTTCTGCGAGAGATTGGAAGAGAAGTAAGGGCTGCAGAAGTAAAAAAAAGGCAATTTGCTGTCGGTAGGTCACTTTATTACTATTATAATTTTTTAGATTGTTATTATTAGGGGTGCACCCTTGTATCTGCTAAACATATGTTTGCCGGCACACTGCAATGTTTGCGTTCACCTGGGATGGAAAAGGCAGGTTTTGAGCCGGTGTCTGTAAATGCTAATATCCTTGCAGTGCGCTCAGTTTAGTCGAAGCAAAACCCCGTGTATGGATTTGTTAGACCAGCAAGGAATTGCATGAATTTTACATGAAGTATAATTTGTATTGTTATTCTGGGCATGCTGAACGCGCTTTTAATTTAATTGTTGTGTAAAATAAGCTCTTCAATTGCCCTTTCTTTGCTTTATTTGATATAACACAAAATCAAGCTCCGAAAGAGACGATCCGTAGAAAGTAATGCAAAGTTCTTATTGGTAATACTTTCTACGATGTTTCACATTAATACTATATCAAATGTAATACAGTGATTTACGCTCTGCAGATTTTGCACGAGTACGCTATGCATATTTGATGACACATTGCATATTTTAACAAGGTTTTTAATGACTGATTGAAATGTTTGCTAAGATATTTTTTAAGAGCTGGAGGAGAAATGGTTGTGGAAAATGTGTGTAATAGAATAGTGATAAGGATGGGAAGGTTTTGATTGACAGTATGAGGAAGCAGATGGATGACTAGGTAGGTCAGAGGTAAAGATGCCTTTGACAGCTTTTTAAGTTCCTTTGGCCATTTTGGTCCAATGAATCATGCAAAACATGTGTACATTACCAAACTGATGTCTCTGCATCGTTTACTGTTGGAATCCTCATCTTTTCAAACCCACCCTAACCTTCTTTCATCACCACTTGACGTGCTATGTCTAAACTAGATTGCAAGATCCTAAGAAGGCAAGAATCTGTCTTGTATTACTTGTCAGCAAAAAAAAAAAAAAAAAAAATCATGTAAACCTATGGAGCTAGAAGAACAACCGCGACAGATTGGCAGAATAGGCGTAAGGTGGGACACGTTCTTCTTAATTTTCACTGTCTGGTCATCACTCCCCTCCCCTAGGTAGTGCTCAAGGGAGATGTGGTGAACAATGATTTTTTTTCCCTCCCAACTGGCATAAATCTGAATTTTCATAAGTCTGATAAGAGACCTAATTGCATAATTTTCCTTATAAAATTATGCAGTGAATGCTGTTGCTATAGTTAAAATGGTTTTCTTCACAGTCTGTGTTTTCAGGTGCTTTGTATGTCCCTCGCAAATTACTTTGTCAACTGAAAATGCTCTGATTTATCCCTGCAAAAGGTTACTGTTTTTGGAAATCTTATTTAAATTACATAGGACAATTTAGAAATGCCTGTGATACAAAAAAGGAATATGTGTGTGTATTAGGAAAAGCGGAAAAAGGGATTTTGGATACGAAGCATGCTTTCCAGGTACCGTTTCCGTGCAGAATGGACACAAGTTTTCATTTTAAGTATTAAAACTTGTCATGCTGATGGTCTCCAGCGGGGAATGTGTCGCTTGCTAATATATGAGGGTAAAGTCAAATTAAAAAAAATGAAATAGAAGAGTGATAAGTAGATGGAAGGCAGCAGACTGTTTGCGTTCAGTACCCCTTTCTTTCCAGCTAAATAGATGTAATATATTTGTGGTACATCTAGAGAGCCGCACAGCCTAGTGATAACATTTCATGCATTTATCAGAATGCATATTAATCTGGGAATGCACAAACAAAAGCACTGCTTATTTCAGAGCGTGATCACTTGAGAGCTGTCCATTTGTTCAAATATGTATATCTGAAAAAAAAATTGGTTGAAAAATATACGTAACTCTCTTGAATTTTTAAGCATGCATAATATTTTCCTTCTTACAGATGTAGAATAATCATTAATTCATAAAGATCCAGGGTTACCGTTGCCGATTAGATGTAACTTTTGGCCTTATAAAATATATTACACAATAAAATCTGTAATGTTTTATTCATGCTATCACTGCAATTTCTCATAGTTGCAGTGTTTCTAACACTAAGGGGCTGATACGAGTACGAATGATCTTGTTGGTCTTAAGTTGACTTTTTAGGTCAATTTAATTTTTTTTTTTTTTTTAAACTGAAGGCAGAATGGATGAAGACTTCAGGTATGTTGTTTCTCTGTAAAACTATCTATACCATTACGTTGATATTAACAAGCATTTACTTCTTAAGCTTTAAATAAGAAACAGCTGGTAATGACTTTGAATTTTTTTTAAGAGACATTTTAGGTAAAATGTTGATAGCTTGTAAATGTGTATTCCTGCCTTAGTCTCTGATCGTGCGTGCAAGTTCATATGTGTGAACAACGTAAAGTAAGAGGTCAGTCCTACAAAGACTATTCACTTGTCTAAAAATTCACAGACATAAATGTTTTCAGGATCAAGGCCTTTTTCAATAATTGTGATAGTCGTGTACCTTGAAGTGACTGACTGATTTAGAATACACTTAATAATTTGATTTTTTAATATAGTAGAAACACTGCATTGATGAGTTACCAAAGCGCATCATACAAGCTCCCACTTCAATCACTTGTAATATATTTTTTTGGCTTGTTTGTGTATTTTTTTTTAAATTTTTTTTTTAGTGATGGCACTGACACATAATTTCAACTTTTTAAAAGTCACATCTTAATTTCTATGGACCACGCTATGGAATTAATTTTTCTAAGTAGGCTTCTTCTTTGAATTATATTTAGTTACACATTGACTACTTTTGTTTATCCAAGAAGCAGATAGCAGCGGTCCAGGACTGAAGGGTGCGAGAGCAACACCAATATTTTGCCTTGAGAGAAAATTTAGGTTGCTGAAAGGTGTCCTAGTTCAGACAGAGACACCCACCCACAGAGAATTAAACTGAAATCATAAATGTAAGCTAACAAATGCTGTTTGTGATTGATTAGCACCCTGGTTACAGCTTATTTACCTTTGTGAAAACGTTTGCTGAAGAGGAGGCGTTATTTATCGGCAGTCGACTACAGCTAGACTGTTAAATCTCCGTCTCCCATAGACGTGCTGCTGGAGACACTGAGGAGATATGGTGGTTGCTCTCTGGACCTGGGGAAAGTCGGGGCTCACCCCGTCTCCGCTGGGAATTCCACCCGAGGGCCTGGCAGCAGCGCCTTCTGTCTCGCCTGTTGCTCTGCGATCGGTGTCTACGCTTCCCTGAAGTAGATGAGGGGTGCAATAACACGGAGAAGTGATTGTTCTCCACACTACATCCCCCCTCAGCAAACCCTCACCGCAGCCCTGCCATGCCGCTGCCGTACCGCTGTACTTCTAGACCCCACGGTTTTGTACATGGGTGTTACTTCAAGCTTGGTGTAAGCTCACTTCTGGTGGCTTAGTTTACTCTTTGGGAGAAGGGAGCATTTCACTTGAATTAGATTCAAGGTATTGAATAAGAAGTAAGAGGTTTTGTTTTCTATTGACAGTT